GGCCCCTGGAATAACTGTGGCCAGCAGATGGCGCTGTGGGAGCCGGCACCTAGGATAACTGTGGCCAGCAGATGGCGCTGAGGGCTCCCGGGGACAGTTGTATTGCTGCCTGCACACGTGATATACATATAAAGCAGATGCTCACTGAGCACTTACTCTTCTCTATTCCTCCATACAGTAGATTGTAGCGATGGTCCCCGTTCTCCCTCTCGATGCCCGTTGTCATGTAGCTTTTTGCATCCCCATCACAAAAGGGTGAGCTGTGCCATTCGGGCTTTCTAGAACTGGGTAATGAAAGCTCTCCCACGGCCACTAGGTTTAAATGCCTATAGTTCATGCAAACAGCGGAAATCCAGTGGTCTACTTCTGCCCCAATTCCAAAGTCCTACACAAGGAGATCTGATTGGTCTAACCCGGGTCAGGCTGCTGCCCATTCCTGGGGTGGACAGAGATCTCAGAGAAGTGATCCTGAGGCTCAAGTATAATTTTGCCCATAAATACTACAGCACTGTGCTGCCTCGTTTAAATAAGTCTGCTCTGTACAGTTCTGCCATCAAATTGACATACAAGTTACATTCATTTTTGTTTTCCACTTTTAGAGATTTCTTCTTTTCTGCCCCCTTCTAATTTTATTGTAAAAAGAATGTGCAAGCGTACAGAAAAGTGGAAATAATTGTGAACACCCCAGACCCACCACCTTGATCCTACACCTGTCGCCATTTTGCAAGATTTGTTTTTTCACAGATGTATCCATCTAAGAATCCATCAACCCTTCCTACCTTTCAATGACTTTAAAAGTGAGCTGCAAACATCAGTACACTTAAATCCTGAACACTTCAGCTTCCATAGGTCATTAACCAGAATTCAGTATTTATCTGCAGCTTTTGAAAAGGTTTGTAATGAAAGACACAAAACTCACTGTACCGTTCTGCAAGTTTTGAGTAGTGCATACACCTGTGTAATGCCAACCCCTGTCAAGACATGGGACGTCTCTACCAGCCCAGAGTTCCCTCAAGCCCTTTCTGTTAATAAATCCACACCCCTGTTGGCAAGCACTGTTCTGATTGCTTCTGTGACTTTTGTCTTATCAGGAAGTCCACATAAATGGGATCATACAGTACACACTCCTGTGGGAGGCTTCTTTCACACAATGCATTTGCAATTCGTTTATGTGGTTGCATGAATGGTGCCTTCTCATTGGTGAGTAGTATTGCAGCCTGTGAATATACCATAGTTTGTTTATCCATCCTCTTGTCTATGGGCACCAGAGTGGTTTCTAGTTTGGGACTAATTTCTTTTTATTATTTTTTTAAGGGGGGGAGTGGGAGGAAAGGGAGAGGGAGGGAGGAAGGGAGAGACTCTTAAGCCCCAGCATGGGGCTCAATCTCATGACCCTGAGATTGTGACCTTTGCCAAGTCTGACGCTTAACTGACAGAGCCACCCAGGCACCCAGTTTGGGGCTGTTTTAAACAAAGCTGCTAGGAGCCTTTATGTCTTTGTGCGGACATGTCTCCCTTCTCCCGAGGAAACACCTAGGCTTAATGTATCTGGGTCATAGGACAGGTTTATGTTTAGTTTTGCAAGAAACTTCCAGACTTTGGATGCTCTCACTGATGACAGATGATGAGAATTTGGAGTACTTGTCATCTCTGCCACTACTTCACGTTAGTTTTTGACATTTTTAACAATCCAGGGGTGCAAGCTCCAGGAGTTTAGAAAAATGAATAGTTAAGTAGTCATGACAGTCATCTTTCCATCATTTTAGAAAATTCTAGTGTGCCCTTGGCAGTCAACCTTCCATTCCCACCCCAGAAGCAACCACTGTTCTGAGTTCCCTCACTGGAGCTCAGCTTGGTCTGCGTTAGAACTGCAAATAAATAGAATCACCAGTTATGTACTGTTTTAGGTCAGGGTTTTTCTTTTGGTCAAAATCATTTTTTGACAACACATGCATCTTACCAAGTACATCGATAATTCCTTCCTTTTGCTGTTGAGCAGTATTCCTTGTTATAAATGTTTATCCTCTCACCTGTTTACAGATATCTGGATTGTTTCTAAATTTTGGCGATTAGGAAGACAGCTACTATGAATCTTCTCATACGGGTCTTTTTTTATCTTTTTTTTTTTGGACATATGTTTTTGTCTCACCTGGGCAAAAATCCAGAAGTGGAATTGCTGGTCACAGGCGGGCTTGCGTTTACCTTTATGAGAAACTGCAGCTTTCCAAAGTGATGCGGCATTTCGCACCCACACCAGCAGTGTATAAGGGTTCCAGTTGTTGCCCATTCTTGTCGAAACTTAGGATTGTCTGTTTTTAAAAATTTAACCAGAGGTCCCTTTGGTTTTCACATTTCCTAGGAGGCTAGAGATGCTGAACACCTTCTCATGTATGTATTAGCCACAGCCATGTTCTCTTTTGTGAAGTGTCTGTTTGGCTCTCTTTTTTTTTTTTTTTAAAGGATTTTGTTTATTAGAGAGAGCGAGAGAGCAGGAGAGGGAGAGGGAGAAGCAGTCTCCCAGCTGAGCAGGGAGCCCCACACAGAACTCGATCCCAGGACCCTGAGATCATGACCCGAGCCGAAGGCAGTCACTTAACCAACTGAGCCACCCAGGTGTCTCCGTTTGGGTCTTTTGTCCACTTTTAACATTGCACTTTTTAAAATCGTTCAGTTGGAGTTCTTTTATATTCTGTACACGTGTACTGCAAATACTGTGTTCCTGCCTGTGGCTCAGCTTTTTTTCTTCCCCCACGGTGTCTTTTGAAGAGCAGGTGCTTTGATGAAGTCGTCCTTGAAGTTTTTCTTTTTTATGGCTTGTGCTTTGTGTCCCATGGAAAATCTTGATATATGGCTACATTTGTTTGTTTTCCGCTGCCGTCCGTTGTTCGCTGTTGCTTTTTTCTTTTGTCCATGCCTCCTTTTAAATTAGTAAAAGTAATGATATGGTTCCAAAGTCAAACTTATAAAGCAAGGCATAGAGAGAACCTGCCTCCACCCCTTCTCCCTCAACATCAATTTTGACTGGCAAGCACTGTTCTTACTGCTTCTATGACTTTTGTCTTATCAGGGAGTCCATATAAATGGGATCATAGAGTACACACTCCTTTAGTTTTTAAAAACTCGTTCTTCTCTTTTGTTTTGGAAATTTTATTTGTATTTATTCAGTTAATAAGTATTTATTGAGTTCCTACATTATAGGTGGTGAGGATCGTCTTGGAAATTATATATATATCCCTCCCCGTTTCCTTACACACACATACACACACACACACACACACACAAACACACACACTACATATATAGTTATATATATAACTTCTTGGTTTTTTAGCAATGTATCTTGGAGAGACTACGCCATAGGAATATATGAAATGTATTCTCTTTTCTCTCTCATGCTCTCTTTCCTTCCTTCCCTCCTTCATTTTGGGTAGTTTCTGAGTAGCTATGCATGGACATTTGGGTTATTTCGAGTCTTTTCTGCTGCATCGAATAGCCTTGTCCCAACGTCATTTGATACTTTTGCTGGTCTGTCTTTGGGATGGATTTCAAGGAAGAGTATTGCTGGGTCCAAGGGTCCCACATCTGTAAGTGTGCGACTTACCACCAGATCCCCCTTATCGGGTCCTATGGGAAGACTCATCTCCCCCCAGACTCGCCATAACTTTTGGTCTCTGTCAATCTGAGGGGCAAGCAGGGCCATTTGGAATGTTCCCCGATGTTCTGTGACAGAGTTTATTGGCCAAGCCTTGTCCTCACTGGCCATGACTCCTAGCTAAATCCCCGAACCAGCTCTGGACACACAGGCTGCCCTCTGCAATTGGGCATGTCTCTTCTGGGCTATTCCGGCCAGTCATCTTTCTGCAGTACTAACACCATCTTCACTTCATTCGCAGTACCTGGGTTGTGTCTCATATGATCTCCTAACAGTCCTCTAAGGAGCAACTAGCATCCCCATTTTACAGCTGAGGAAGCCAGGGGTTGGAGGGTTGGAAAAAGTCAGCATCTTGCCCAGACTCACAGCTAACCAGGCAAGGGAGGTGGTGGGACTCGTAAGGAGACACCACGTACGTGTGTGCACGTGTGTATATAGTGTGTATCCATGTGCTCCGTACATTTCTCAACAGGACGTGGCCATCCACACAGCTGACTGTTCACACGCATCAGATGACTTCCTCAGAGAATCACTAGCTGTCGTAGGATTCCTGTTTTTAAGTCTCCGCATTGGTCGCCCCCCACCACCACCCCTGCCGGCCCCTGCGCTCCAGGAACGCGGGGCGGGATTCGGCCAGGCCCCCGGGGAGGTCAGTGGGCCCCGGGGGGAGAAGGGCCACCTCCAAAGGCTTCCCACGCCAGGCCCTGGGAGGCCCCACCCCCCTCCTGCAGAGAGAGGTGACAGAGCCCAGCCCTGGCCCCGAGGACACACATCACAATGCCTTTTCCACCTGAGCCAGGCCTAGGAAGAGGCACCAGGGAGGTCCGCACTCCGGTCCCAGGGCAACCAGGCGGCATCATGGGGACTCCTCAAGACAAGCGCTCGGCTGCTCAGAGCCCGGAACTCTACGCTGCCCGGATACCGTTGCTGGAACAAAGGACATCCAGGGCACCAAGATGGAACCCTCCCCAAGGTAGGAGTACCACCCCCCCTCCCGGTGACAAGTTGACTTGGGGCCCACGGGAAGCAGAAGAGGAGACTCTGGGTCCCCTTGCTCAGCTGGGGGCTGAATCCAGTCCTCCTGCTGTCCCCTACCAACCCGGGGACCGTGGGACCCAACGTGGGACCCAGCATCCCCTACTCTCTCTTAAAGTGTTAAAAAGAAGTCCAGGAAGACTAATGGCTCCGTCATATCAGGTATGACCTGCCGCTCCTATCCCCTGCCCACCCTCATGGCCAGACACAGCCCAGACTGGCAGGGTTGGCGGGGTCGGGGGGTCCTGGCCCTGCTGATGAGATCTTGGCCAAGTCACTCAATCTCTTTGGATCCATTTTCTATCTGGAAAATAGTTGCGAGGATTAAGAGCTGGTTGGTGCAGGGCCGGCAGCTGCTAACTCAGCTGTGAGGCCGGGTGACTGGTTACCCCGGCCTTCACTTTCCTCACCTGTAAAATGGGTACAAAACCCAGCCTCAGGCAGGGCTGCTGGGGGCACCTGCCCCCAGGAGTCTAGACTGTGTGGCAAAAAGTGAGGAGGGGCTTCCTATGCTCCAGCTGTCCCCACTGTGGGAAGAGGCTGTGGGGGGGGGCACCCCAGGCTGCCCCCTTCAAGCCACAAGGCCCCCAACCTGGGAGAGGCAGGTCCCCATGCGAAGGGTCCATGTGCTTCCCCATAGACACGGAAATGGACCCCCATCATCAACCAAGGGCTGGGAGCTGGGGGCCAGATTGGCTGTTCACAGGGTGTGGAAGGCCCCTGGTGGGGCAGGAGGGAACCAAGGTTGGGAGCAATGTGGGCAGACCTGGGGCCCAGACAGTCCTTCTCGGAAGGAGTAGATGAAACTCTGCCCCTCTTGGAGCTGTCCTGTCCAGAGGCAAGGGGCTTAACACACGGTGGCGTGTGCTCTGGACATGGGCATCCTCACCTTTCGTACCTACGGGGTGACCTCAGGCAAGTTACTTAACCTCTCTGAGCCTGGTCTCAACATCTGCAAAATTGGAATGGTACCACATGGCTACCTTTTTGGTGTTTTGGCAAGAGTCAGTGGAATGAGGTATGTCAAAGGGTTAGCTGAGTTTGGCACATGACAAATGCTCGATATTGTTTTAAAGATTTTATTTGACAGCACAAGCAGGGGGAGCCGGCAGGGAGAGGGAGAAGCAGGCCTCCCACCGGGCAGGGAGCCCGATGCGGGGCTCGATCCCAGGACCCTGGGATCATGACCTGAGCCGAAGGCAGACGCTTAACAACTGAGCCGCCCAGGCGCCCCTCGATATTTTTTTTAAAGAGAGATTATGGGGCCCGTGCTCTTTTTGTATCCTCAGCTTCCCGGCAGTGCGTCCAGGAAGCTCGTACATCCTAGGACACGGGGGCACATTTGGAGCCGGAAACGTCTGGATTCAAACCTCAGCCACTCACGTTCATTTCTCCAGGCCTCAGCTTGCCCTCCTGTAAAATGGGTGACACCCTCAGGCTGGTCACGCTGTCAGCTCGGCGCCTGGCATGGAGCGAGCCATGGGATCTGAGGGTGTGTTTCCTTCCTCTCTCCCAAAGAGCCTCCTCCTCCTCCAGGAACTCCAGTTCTTCCCCCACTGTACATCCAAGGCCCCCCGGGCGCTCAGCCGGGTGAGTACCTCTACCCCCCTCCCCTCCTCGTTCTCCTGGGCTCAGGCTCAGACCGCCCTGCCCACTCACCAAGACTCTGCCCCAACAGCACCTCCTCTCTGAAAGCCCTTCTCCACGGACCCCACTGCTGTGTGACCCCCACACTGGGGTGGTGCTGCCCCGTCTCTGATGGGAAATCAGTGGTGGAGGGGGCCGGTCCATGGTGGGCGCTCAGGGAAGGCTTTGGGAGTGAAATCCTGGTGAAACCCCATTCCCTACTCTGCCATGCACCACCCCCAACCGGAGGAGGGGAAGGCAGCCCCCCAGCCCCCGCCGCCCAGGTTCACAAGGGTGCCAGAGAACTGAGGACACTTCAGAGGTCTCCCAGGGTCGAGCGCTGCAGGGCTGGGCTATACATTGCCAGTGGGCAGCATGAAGAAGACCCCCCCCGCCACTGCCGGAGAGACCATTAGGGATGCCCATATTAGCCACACAGTTCTTGCCTTAGCTCCCTGCCCAACCAGGGAGTCTGCATCCCTGCCTGCCAAGGTTCTGGGACTCCAGATCCCTGCTCCCCCTCACCCCCGACCCCAAAGGGATTGGCACACCCCAAGACCAGAAGCTCTAGCCAGCCTATCCAGACCAGACCCCGAGCCCTTGGCCAGAACACTAAAGCTCGCTGGGACTGTTTTCTTAAACTCAGCCACCACCAGCGTCCTCCTTTCTCCGCACACCCAAGATTGTAGAAATGGCTGTGGTGGTTAAATAGCTAAACACGTATTTTGGCCCCACTGTGCAAATGCAAGAGGAAGGCACGAGAAGGCCAACAGGTAGGTTCTCGGTTTTGTTGCTTTCCCACCATGCTTCACCAAGGTGTCGGAGCTTTTTACCTAGGGCAGGGATTCCAAAGCCACTCTCGCTGATGTCGTGGACACCCCGGAAAGGGGACGGATGAGCACGCTATCCTGGAGAGCTCGCTGATTTGTAGGGCCCGGTTCAAACCCAGAAATGCTCCCCAATTCCCTGGGTGTCCTGGCCAGGGGAGACAGGGTGTCTTGACGGAGGGGGGCCCCTGGGTCCTGAAGGCTGGTGGCAGTGGGTGGTGGGAAATGGGACTGTGAGGGGAGGTCGGAGCCGCTGCCCCCCCCCCGGGTGACCTGACGCGCAGGGGAGCACGGAGAACACGCAGTAGGGCCCAGCCAGCGGTGGACACCGGCAGGGCGAGGTGGGGGCCAGGGTCTGAGCTGCCATCCCCCACCCCCAGCGGTGTTCACCAGCTTGCCTAGGATGGGGTCTGCCACCCCCGTACGGTCCGTATGTCGGTACTGTGGGAACTACATCATCACAGTGACCAGCCCGGTCCCAGGGGTCATCACCTGGCTGTTGTGTACTGGCCTCTTTGTGTTTGGGTGAGTGCCCTCCACCTTCGCCGCTGCAGGGGCCCTGTACATCCACGGGGACGGGGCCTGCTGGGTTGGGGGGGTGGCCACATGGCACGGGTGGCCGGGCAGGAGCAAGGACAGAGGGGGCCCCCGGGGAGAACCTCAAGGCTGGCCCCCACACCCCGCTGCTCCTGCGGCTGCAGGTGCGTCCTGGGATGCTGCTTCCTCCCCTTCTGTGTGGGCAGTTTGATGGACGTGAAGCACACGTGCCCAGTGTGCCGGCAAGAGCTCTTCCGCTACCATCGCCTGTGAACGTCCGCAAAATAAATGTCCATTAAGTGCTCTGTGTGTGTGCCCACGTCTGCCCTGCTGGGATCCCTCCTGGCCCAGGGAGGGCGGGCCTAGCACCGAGGGCTCAGCAGGTGCTCAGGCAGCCATGGGGGAATGAAGGGGGGCCGTGGTATCCCGCCCCCGCTCCGGACCCCTCAGAAACCCTGAGTGCGGTTTTCCTGGCTCCTTCCCATCGGCCCAAGCTTCGGCATCTCCCAGAACATCTCTGCACCTCCAGGCGGGGGGACGCCTCACTTCCCAGTATCTACAGCCTCACAGATCTGCGGGGCTTAGGCAAATGCTTGGGACAGTCAAGGCCCCAAGCTGGTGAACAGAGTACCCTCTGGGTAACACGGGGTCTGCAGGGGATGGGTTGGGGCTGGGGAGAGCCTATAGGGAAACCCGGGGGCACAACCAAGGGAGAGCTTCTGGTTTTTTGGGTTTTAAAGGTTTTTAATTAATCTCTACACCTGATGTGGAGCTCCAGCTCACAACCCTGAGATCACGCTCTTCCGGCTGAGCCAGCCAGGCGCCCCCCCGCCCCAACGAGGGAATTTTATTTAGCAAAAGAAGATAAACGTTATTCACCCATCTTTTCAAGGAAAATTAATTTCCTATAGAAGGGAAAGGGAAGTGGGTGAATTAGGGGGCAGGAAAGAAAGGGAACTCTCTTTAGACTTAAAAAAAAAAAATTTTGTTATGATGCTTCTTGGCATCCCCCTCCCCCAGCCCCCCGGGAGGGCAGCATGCCCCCATCCCATAGCTGCGG